GATCCAACATGACAGCGAATGACTTAGATACCTAGAACATCCACTCAAACTGAACACTTTATTAAATACACAGCTTTCATGGGCCATTAAATGTGCGATATATGAATCATTAGACCAATCCTTATAAACAGAGAATCACTGAAGCATGCCCACAGGTCACCCAGCAGGTAGTGGCACATCAGGGAGAGGGAGTCTGGGTGTTTCAGTTTATGGAGAAGAAAGCACCTATTTCCCCTTGCTATTCCCACAATTTACATATTAGCATCCACGAATCAACAATAATAACTAAAAACTATTTTAACCTGTTGACGCAAACAGCTATATTGAAAAAAACTAGTTTTCACCACAACCCGTGGCTCAACAATGCCCCTAGAAGTCAATTTTTAAGAATCCAACGAAATTGCAAATTAGATTCCGACTACCTCCAACAGGCTGATTATATTAAAAAACAATTCATTGAAAAAGGATATGATAAAATAATCCTGGAAAAAGAAATAGAGGAGATAGGAAAACTACAAAGAAAAAGTCTCATAAAATATAAGCAAAAAATAACAACAACTGTAACGGATGAAATTCCTTTTATTTGCAACTTCAACGGACTCAACAGACGGATACAAAGAACAATTAAAAAACATTGGCATTTATTAAAGGATGACCCCGTTTTAAATAAGATTTTACCAACAAAACCAAAAATAATATATACAGGAGCTAAGAATTTTACAAATATTTTAGTAAAAAGCCACCTAACCCCCCAAAAAACAAAGCACTGTATCCAAGAATTAAAAGGATTTTATGGATGTGGAACATGTCTCCCTTGTAAAATAACCGTATATTATTAATGACCACCTAACTTGCCATTCAAAAGGAATTATATACATGTTAAAATGCCCATGTAACCTTTTGTATATAGGCAGAACGATTCGACCATTAAAGGTTAGGATTGCAGAACACATTAGGAATATAAAGAACGGTTTAGAAACTCACAGTGTGTCATTACATTATAAACAAGTCCACAACCAAAATCCTGAAAATTTGTTTTTTTGTGCAATAAAAGAAGTCAAAAGAAATTGGAGAGGTGGCAATTATATAAAAATATTAGGAAAAAAAGAAATAGGGTTTATTTTTCGTTTTAAGACCCTTATTCCGTATGTTCTTAATTCACACTTTGAAGTCTGTCATTTTTAATATTATTTTAGGACCTATAATTCTTTTAATATTATTTTAATATAATTTATATAATTACCAATAACTATATTTATTATTTATTATTCTGTTCCTTTTTTTTTCTCTTCCCCCCAACAATTCACTGTAAGCTCATATACTAATGATCTTTGTTCACAATTTTATATAGAATAATATACACTGACATATAATTTTCTATCTTCTGTTTTATGTGAATTTTATGTAATTTGTGAGATGAATAACTATATTCATTATAATCAGACAATGCTGAATGCATGAATAATGTTATACTCTCTCAAAAACGACTACAGACAATGCTGAATGCATGAATAATTTATCCAGATTATATCGGAACTTTGGAACGCATATATGCGTTCCAGCAAGTATCACGTGACGATTGCGTTCCACGGATGGAACGCAGAAAACCGGAACTGGAAGCGGAATTGAAAATCCCATTGAATGCCGATCGAGAATAGCAAAAAGACCGCCAAAGCACAGCTATTTAAAATGGACCTACAAACTAAACTAACCAGCAACTGAGGAAGCCTCTAAACAGGGCGAAACGTGTTTTGTACTTTATATAAGGACTTACCTTCGAAATTGTAAGGTTTTTTATTTATTCAATTTTATTTTATGTATACTTTGTGCACTTTATAACAAAGCACTTTACCCCTGCTACATACTGAGAGGATATCCTATTATTTGGAAACCCCTGCCAGTACAAAGAAGGGAGTGGACCCCTCTAGCACCCACAAAGCTGAATTTCTGAGCCTCCATAATGGCTCCTTGTTTGAAGAACAACTCAAGAATAATTTTATTCATGTAAAGATATTCCATCTTTTATTTGAAGAACCACTTAAGAACTACTTTTCATGTAAAGATGCTCCACCTTATATTGTATGTATATTTCTGTTTGTTTGTGTGGTTAAAGGGAAAACCCACAAAGGTGTGAGAGTATTCTATTACTATTGGTGTTACTCACTGGGATATTGTTATATATTGCTTTCTATTCCCACAATTCACCTGTTATCTAAACGTAATCATTATGCTCTATGTCACATTGCTAGTGTGGAGTACACATTATATAGATCTGGGTACACAGTGTGCACTAACTCCTTTACAAGGACAAGCCTTCACCCTAGGTTAGCCAGCTCCACCTGCTGGCCACTCAGAGTAATACAGCATCCCTGCTCACAGCAGGAGCTATTCACAAAAGTGAGAATTCAAAGTGAATTTTACATTTAAGGCCCAAGTAGCCAAACTTGCCAAACTTAAGCATAGGTGATTTGGAGATTTTTTAAATTTTGACTATTTTGTACTTAATTTGAAATTCACTGACACCCCCAAAAAACCACAGTGACAGGCACCACTCCAACAACGACTCAAACAGTGAGTGCCTGTCACTAAAGTAGCCTGGCCACTGGGCAGGCTGCTATTTTATTAAGTTATTCATTTTTTTTTAGTTATAACATTTTCTCTTGTGCAGAATCTCCTCCTGAGAATATTTTCCAACTACAAAATCTGAATGCACAGCCATCGGCTTCCGTATACAGATTTTTTTTCCTATTAAATCAATTTTTCATTTTACTGTTAGCTTTCTAAAAAAAAATAGTAATCCTTTGGCGGCAGCTATTGGCTAAACTCTGTATTACACTCTGTAACGAGTTTAGCCTACAAATAACCAATTTATTTTACTCATTAATGGTATCGTCCACATATTTGGAGGTAGAAGAGACGTGTATACATATTGCTATTTATTTTATTAACAATATTTAGGGACAGATTCAAACACATGTGTATTTGACTTTTAAGTCTGGCACCCCACCAACTGGACAAGTCACTGGCCGCTAGATAGAGAGAGTTTCCTGTTTATTTATTTGGGACTGTAATTTACAATTCTTCGTTTAGTACATAAAATAATGAAAGTTAGACAATCTCGCTGAGTGGGTGTTGATCTACAAACCGCACTTTTAGAGATAAGATTTGCTGGAGAGAGACTTATGATTCTGCCAATCCTGAGTATGGCATGTATAACATGCGGTACGCTTCAATTAACCCTTTCAATTTAATGGTTCATGGGATATTCCTAGACACAGGAGACTATGGGAAATGACTGCTCACTAGCCATCCCATGACTGAGGGACACTTTGTTACACTACATATTATTCCCAGTGATTCTCAGCCTAAAACAGCATAGACAAAGGGATTTAACTCCTAAATGGCAGAGAATTGAGCAGCGAGGCTGCAGGGTCTATACACTAAAACTGCTTCATTAAGCTAAAGTTGTTTTGGTGGTTGGCATCCCTTTAATAGGAATCTTCTGGGGTGCAAAGTAATAATTTAACCCCTTAACGACAATCGTCACTCAGAGGATTGCCATAACGACGAGTCTGCCTCTGTATTAGAGGCAGACCGGGAGCACCTGATCTCGCTGCCTCAGCACATGTGCTCGCTCTGACAGCATGACAGCATGTCAGAGCGAGCACATGTGCTTAGTATACTTACCTTCCACCTCCCTGCACTTCCTGGTTCTGTGTGCTGTGCAGGGAGCCGGAACAGTGCT